TTCATAAAACTAAGATCATTTATCGTCTAGGTCGTCATGTTATGATGAATAAATCAAACATACATGCAGTTACGTGGCCACATTTTTACGGCGACAATTTCTCTGGTCATTTCTATTTGCTCCCACAATGATCTAACTATTATTGAACCCACCCCACTCTTCCAACCATTGTTATTTACGTAGCCAATTTAACCTTGAAACAAAATGCAAAAAAATATAATGATCTGAAATGGAAAAACAAAAACAAAGGAGTAAAGTGCATTGTTTACCCTCGTACTCTTTAGAAATTGCATGATTTATCCCTGAACTTTAAAAAGTGCACTGTTTACCCTTGAACTTTTCGAAAATTGCACGATTTACCCCTACACACTAAAAAATACATCAAATACCCTTGAACAAATTAAACCGTTGCATCCTTGGTCCTAAACTATTAGATAGGGAGCGTGTTGCTTCCATGCACAAGAATTGCGAATGCCGAATATGATTCATCTAGCCCTTGTGAATTCTCCAAAGTACCTTTCTCCAAAATTGGTGTTTTTATTTAAATGTTCAGAAGTAAATAGTACTCCCTCCGTCCCTAAATAAACTTCCTTTTTTGACTTTTTGAGGATTATATTTAAGGGAGAGATATTTTTGTGTTGACTTTCCAAAAATACCCTTGATGTGATGTGTAAAGTAAGATGTGATATGTAGATTATTAGTAAAAAGGTATGATGTGATAGGTAAGGTATGAAAAAGTAAGGGGTAAAAGGGGTTTTTTAAGGGAAAAAAGAAGTTTATTTGGGGACAAAGAAAAAACAAAAGGGGAAGTTTATTTAGGGATGGAGGGAGTACAATTTTTGAAGAGCTCAGGGGTATTTGGTGTAATTTTTATTGTTCAGGGGTAAACCGTGCAATTTCTGAAGAATTCAAGGGTATTTGGTGCACTTTTTATTGTTCGGGGGTAAACCGTGCAATTTTTAAACAATTCAGGGGTAAACGGTGCACTTTTCTCAAAAACAAAGACACACAAGGATTTTGGCTTTTGGCTTGCATAATAATTAATAGGGTTTATACATGCATGGAAATCTGGCTTTCTTGGTCGTGATCCATGCAAAGTCGATCCCCTTTTTCTATTCTTATTCCAGCTGGCGGGATACATATTAACATTCTTTTTCATTAATTACGTATGTAAAAGAAAAATGGGAAGCGGCGTAAATGAGAAAGATGCATTGTCCTCTAATAATAGGGTAATGAGACATAATAACCACATCCATACCATCATTGGCTCCTGCTGTCTTATTATGGGGGTATTTCTGGCTGTGGCTTATTGTTACATGATGATGATGATGACCGGCGGGGACGCGACGGCAGAACAACAATTGATGTTTTCTGGGGGCGGATCGATCCGAAAATGCGATTTGTTTTCTGGGAGATGGGTTTATGACAACAACAAATCATATCCCTTGTACAGAGAGGGGGAGTGCTCTTTCCTGGCTGATGATTTTGCTTGTGAGAAGTATGGGAGAAAGGACTTGTTGTATCAGCATTGGAGATGGCAGCCTCATCAATGTGATCTCCCAAGGTCTTTCCTCTTTTCTTTCTTTCACTCACAAAATCAAGATTCTCTCTCTCTCTTCCTAGTTTCATTGCAGTATATTCATAAAGTTTGACTTTTTTCACATCAAATTTGATAAATCTTGAATCTCAGTGTTAAATAAAAACTTTAATTTATGTTAGTATAAAAATATAAGTTTGTTAGATTTATTCTTCAGAAGCTTCAGAATTGTATTTCGCTATATTAATATCCAATATAAATTGAGAGGGTTTGACTTTCAAATCAAACTCGACATAAAAAGTACGGAGTAGTATTTTGTTTTATGATTAATTAAATTATGTATAAAAAAAGATTATGTAATACTCTCTCCGTCCCAAAAAGATTTACACGTTTCAAAAAAATTGCGTCTCACAATCTTCTTCCCATTTCTATTAAAAAACCACTTTTACCCCTTACTTTTTCAAACCTTACCTATCACATCATAACTTTTTCCTAATAATCTACACATCACATCCTACTTTTACCCATCACATCAAGGGTATTTTTGGAAAGTCAACACAAAATTGTCCCTCCCTTAATTTCAATTTTAGTCAAAATGGGTAGCACTTTATGGGACGGAGGGAGTATTATTAGACATTTAAACCCTATGAATAGTGTTTGTGAAGGCTAGCTAATATGGAGTGGCAAGAGTTAAATTTAAGTCTTTTAGCTTTATGTTATTTTCTTTTTGTAGGAGTATTGAAATATTGACCGTTTAATAAGTTTGTATTCATGACATAATCAACAAAGGTTTAATGCCACTGCACTACTAGAGAAACTCACAGGGAAAAGGCTTGTGTTTGTGGGGGATTCTCTAAACAAGAACCAGTGGATGTCAATGGTGTGTATGCTTGAATCTTCTTTATCTCCTTCATTGAAATCATCCATTTGGAAAGGCAATTTGATCACTTTTGAAGCCAAGGTAAGAACAAGATTTTTTTTGTGGTATAAAATTGAACTTTTTGTTGAGTAGATTACATCATTTATTTCTTCTGGTCTTGAAAAATTATACGGAGTAATTAATGAAGGAATACAATGCAACGGTAGATTTCTATTGGTCTCCGTTGCTGGTTGAATCCAACTGTGATGACCCAGTGGACCATCACGTCAGAGATCGAATTGTCAGAATAAAAGCAATCGAAAAACATGTCAAGCACTGGACCGATGCAGATATATTGGTCTTTGACTCATTTATGTGGTGGCTAGAGCCTACCATGACACTTTTGTGAGTACATTCATCTTTTTTCACACCAAAAAGTCAAACTAGAAAAATATTTTGGTAGTTAATGATTCATGTATAATTAATGATGATGCACAGGTGGGGATCATTTGAAAGGCCAGATGCAGTGCAGGAGAAGGTAGAAATGAAGCTTAGGCGCTATGAAATGGCATTAGAAACTTGGTCAGATTGGCTGGAGTTCAACATTAACAAATCAACAACACAATTGTTCTTCATGAGCCTCTCCCCTTACCATAAATTGTACTACTACTTTATTTTGGGACGAAGGGAATATATATAAAACAAATTTTGTCACAACTAATATTCTTTATTTCCAGGGCAAGAGATTGGGGCAATCAATCCGATCAAAACTGTTACAACGAAACAGAACCAATTTCAAGATTGGATTACTGGGGAAGTGGGAGTGACAAAGGACTAATGAAAACTGCAGAAAAGGTCATAAAACAGCTGGAGAGTAGAGGTTTGAAAGTGGGTTACTTAAATATTACACAACTCTCAGATTACAGAAAAGATGGACACCCCAGTATTCACAGGAAGCAATGGCAGCCTCCAACTGAAGAACAATTGTTGGATCCAAAGAGCTATTCAGATTGTGTGCATTGGTGCTTGCCTGGAGTGCCCGACGTTTGGAACCAAATTCTTTATGCATACCTTATGGATCACTATGTCTCATAGAGGAAATAAAAGTCCAACTTTGGTCTATAAGGTTTTAGTTTTAGTAAGTTACAATTAATAAAAACAATCATTGATAATTTGATATAGGTCTTATTTGGGAAATAAAGCTAAATGCTCGAGTACTCAGCGTTTTGGAAAATTCTGTCAGTTTCAATAGTATAAATTTAATTTAAAAATATTAAAACTAAACACAAACATAAGATAGCTTTTTCAAAATATGCACTAAAGCTAAATGCTCAAGTTGTTATCAAATTAAGACATAGACATATACGACTATACGAGTATATAGTTATGTTTTGGTATTTTAATGGTTGATTCTAATATTTTTAATACACTTAGAGCACTAGAAATATCCGTGAAGACAAACGGTGACAAAACTATGACAAATTCTACGGTGAATCTAAGGTCCATCATAGTCCTATGTATGAGCAAAATAAGCATTTCCTTACTACTTAAATAAGCATTTATTTTTTCCAATAAAAAAAAAATTATGTGAGAAGGTTCATAAAAATGGTATCCACTCAAGGTGCACCATAGAAGCACTCCAAAACTATACTCCCTCCGTCCCTGATTTGATTACAGATTGGGAGATACGAGGCAAATTTATTCATCTTTTAAAATCATTTTATTTAAAAATTGGTATATCAATAAAAAATAAAAATTACATGTAAAAAACTACCTCAAAAATTCTTTAAAACGAGAGGTAACAAGAATATTTTATTTTATCAAATACTTAATGAAAACACACACATAAACAAAAGCTATCGAAAGGAGAGAAAAAAAAGATTGTAATCTAATTCGAGGCAAAGGGAGCACTATTTTATGCATAAAGAAAATGGTTAAAGTTTGACCATGTTAATAGTAAACATATAACTTAAATTGGGACGGAAGAGGTACGATATTTCAAAACTAAGTTTTAAAGAAATCTATTGATATGAGATTTATATCCTAATTTATTATATTTATTCTATAGTTTATGATTAAAATTTTAAAAATTGTTTTTAAAAATTAAAATGAGAACAAAGATTAGAGAGAGTAATAAGAACGCTTGCCTTTAACCATCTAGAAATCACCCTAAATAAGACTAAAACATAGAAAAAGTATCAAAATAGAACTTTCATGTTTTTATTTTCGAAATAGGAGTTTATATGGGTACTGTGGTAATGTGGAGGTAATATGACACTGTACACGTGCACATTACTATACTTTTCGGTAATGTACATGACCACGTTTGATAATGTAAATGCATTTTAACTCCTATTTTGAGAATAAAAACATGAAAGTCTTATTTTGATATATATTCAATATTTTACTCCTACTTAGTCTTTTACCCCTCCATGTGAATAATGAGTTTATACTTTATACTACTCCATAGAAGAAAAAAGAAACACTCGCGCGGTCTCGCCCATCATAGAAACTTTCATTAAATAAAGTTTCCTGATTAGCTGCCCAAAATGAAGGGGGCAAATATGCTGGGGTCTATGCATCTTCCAGCCAAGTTCAAATGATAAAGACACACTAGTAGTTAATTCGTTCATCTGCTCTCTGAATTTCCAGTATAATACGGAGTATTATGCAGTCAACATCCTCACTCATCCATTTGTATAATCAGATTCCCTCCGCCATTTTCCCCTTCTTCTCCGCAGAAAAAAGAAATGCAGAGGTGCCCGAAGAAGAGAGCCCAGTACCCATTGATCGTTCTTGTGTTCTTCGCCTTCATAGCTTTCTCTGTCCTCTTCAATGGAAGCCACATTCGAGAATTCCACCACGCTGACCCCGCTTCTGGATCTGATGAAAAGCCCTTTCTCACTACCTGGAATCTGAACTTCTCCGAGATTAGTACAGGTCGCCTTCTTATATCCTCTTAAAGATCGTTGGAATCTGATTTGAAATCACGAATGTTGGATCCTGCTAGGCTAGTGGCGTTTGAACTCTCTACGTTTTGTGTTCATCACTTCCATTTTTGCTCTCGGTTGTTAGAACTTAGAATATGCCCCCACCGAGTGGGGAGGGAACTGGGGAACACTAATTTTCCACCATTTATTTCTGCTTCATCTGAATTTTAAATTCAGTGGCTTTCATAAATTTCTTGGATTATGAGCTAGAGTGTTGATTTTTTATGAACTTATTGGGGTCTTTTTTGTCAAATAAAAATTTGTGTAGCTAGGGAATTGGACAAGTCTAGTAGATGCCATGATACCGTAGGGTATAGTGGTAGGAGGCCATTTTGGGCTAATGATCTTCGAGAGTCTGGCAGTCGAAGAGAAAAGCCAGAGAGATGTGACCTCTTCTCAGGCGAGTGGGTCTTCGATAACACTTCACATCCACTTTACAATGAGTCTGACTGCCCTTATATGTCTGATCAGTTGGCTTGCCAAAAACATGGAAGGCCTGATAGGGGTTACCAGTACTGGAGATGGCAACCCCACAACTGTAATTTGAAGAGGTATCCTTAACCCTCTTGGTGCAAGCATGTGTTCAATTGATATTTGGCTTTTTTTATTTGAATAAATGTTGCTTTTCAATTTGCAGATGGAATGCGATTGAAATGTGGGAGAAATTGAGGGGGAAAAGACTAATGTATGTGGGGGATTCATTGAACAGAAACCAGTGGATGTCAATGGTCTGTATGATGCAATCTGTTATTCCACCTAATAAACGGTACATGTCACCACAGGAGCATCTTTCAATCTTCAGAACAGAGGTAACCAAACTCGCATTTCATAAATGGGAAACGTGATTCTCAAGAATCTCCTAGTATGTTGAGGTGCCAGTTTTATAGTTGTTTGCTTTTGCTTGATGGCTCTTAATGGGCATGTTTGGACAGGAGTATAATGCTAGTATCGAATTTCTCTGGTCGCCACTTCTTGTGGAATCTAACTCTGATCATCCAGTGGATCATAGGTTAGCAGAACGAATAATCCGCCCTGATTCCCTCCTCCGCCATTTGTCACACTGGATGAATGCTGATATTATAGTCTTCAACTCTTACCTCTGGTGGAGACAAGGCCCTGTTAAGCTTCTGTAAGCTTTGCTAGGTTCACACTTTGAAAACTTATGTATGAGCAAACCTGGTTCACACATTATTACTTATCAACAACTCTAATTTTTCTGCAGATGGAGCAATGATGAAAATGGAATCTGCGAAGAAATAGATGGACTTGGTGGGATGGAGTTGGCGATGAGTGCCTGGGCGGATTTGATAGCATCTAACATTGACCCCTCTAAGAAAAAAGTCTTCTTTGTTACCATGTCTCCCACTCATTCCTCGTGAGTAAAGTTCTCCTCTTTTTCCTATCAAGTTTCTTACACTATGTTTGGTTCAAGGAATTTGAAAGGGAAAAGAAAAGAAAATGATGGAAAACAATTTTTCTTGTTTGGTTAGAGAGTAAGAAAATGAGAATGCAAATTTTACTACGAGGGAAAATACAATTCCTCCCATTTTGGTGAGGAAAATGAAAGAAACTTGTTTTCTTTTTTTTCCCTTCTGAATTCCTTGAACGAAACATAGTGTTAGTGTCTTCAAATACTTGAGTTGGTTCTTATTAGGCCTCGATTGGTTGAGTCATTAAGAGCATCTTCAATGCAAATTGCTTAGATAGACTTCTTAGCTATTTCTTGTTATTAAAATGCTGAGCAAGTGTTGCTTAGTGAAGCAACCCTCTAACAAATTGAAGCAATTGTGCTTCCATTTCATAAGCCACTTAGCCACCTAAGCATTTCATTTTTATAATATTTTTAAGCAACTCTTTAGCATCTAGCACTAAAGATGCTCTTACACATAACCTCCACGTTACGCCTGGGTTTGCACAGCATGACTCCAACACACCAACTCATTAAGGCCGTGGTGTACTCTTCAAAAAGGGTGTTACTTACAAATGCAAATAATGGACACCTAAACATGTATTTAAGAAAACAGTAGGGAAAATGGAGATACTTCTAGGTGTCGGCTTTATTGTTAGTATCATTACTCATATTCTCTTCACCTCTTATGACCACCAGGAAGGAAGAATGGGAACCAGGAAGCGAAGGGAGCTGTTATGATGAGAAAGTCCCTATAAAAGACAGTGACTATTGGGGAAACGGCTCTGATGTGTCAACAATGCAGATGGTGAGAAAGGTACTGGACACTTTGGGTACAAAAGTTTCTGTCCTAAACATCACTAAGCTTTCAGAGTATAGGAAAGATGGCCATCCCTCCATTTACCGTAAGTTCTGGGAGACACTCAGTCCTGAAAAATTAGCAGACCCTTCAAGTTACTCGGATTGTGTACACTGGTGCCTGCCTGGTGTTCCCGATGTTTGGAACGAACTATTGTTTCAGTTCTTATAAGCTAAGCCATGATTTGTAAGTAATTTTTTTTTGCAGCTGGGTTCATTTTCAAAGTGAAGTTTGAAATTTTGAACGTATGCACATCTCAATGAATGTGGCTGCATATATGAATTTTATAGTGAATACCACTTTGTAAGACAGTCTTATTAACGTTCCAACGTGTTTGAATATGAAAGGGATTCAGATATATTGAAATTAGCGCCTTCATTCACATTCTTGAGTCTAGCAGAAATGCTCTCTGTTCTAAAAATCCCTTTCAAGTCTTAGCTTAAGCATTAGGCTGCCCTTAGCTGTTTATGTTTTTCCCTGCCGATGAATTCACAAACCTAATTATTGGCCATATTGGGGTTTATTGGTTAAATATGCAGCATTATTAGAACATAGAGACACAAGCGGGTACGTTCCATTTTACCTCTGTCTTAGACCAGCCAAACAAGTTGTAAACATTTTTGGCAAAATGTTTTTTGACCATCAATTGATGTTAACTAAGTATACTTGATTAAAAACACAAAATCTATTATCTATTAATTTCATCAAATACAGACATGTTTTCTTCACCCGATCTGATTGGTTTTAATCTAATTTTGATTATATACTTATATTTTGATGGAAACCTGATCCATAAATAATGGGCTGGAATTGAGATGTGCTCGGAAACCCAAACAAGGGCTCATGAGATTGGGAGATCCAGCCCACGTGAGATAAAGAAGGTTGGTCCATATAAAAATGAATTGGGCCAACGATGCTACGAAAGAATTAGATAGGTTGGGCACTTGGGCTGAAGCTAGAGATATGTACATCTGGTTAGTACTCATTCTGAAGTAACTTAGTACTCATTCTCGTACAAATATAAATATTCATTTCGAAATACGTAGTACTCATTCTAAAATAAAGTAGTACTCATTTTAAAACAAAGTACTCATTTTTATACATTTGTCTAATATAATTATAACAAATAGCGTAGTGTTCATTCTTAGAAAAACAATACCCATTCTCAAATAACTTACACTACTACAAAAAAGGTCTTTTGAATCAGTTATTTTTATCTTTTTAAATCGGTTGTCATCCGATGCAAAAGCTAGCGATGCAAATGCTGAAGTAACTATTTGCATCGGTTGTTAAACCAATTCAAAAGCCCCTTCCCAGAATTGGCGCCACCTCTAGGAAGGAGCATTTGAATCGGTTGTTAGCTAACAACCGATTCAAATGCCTCTTCCCAGAATTGGCGCCACTTCTGGGAAGGAGCATTTGCATCGGTGTTTGCTAACAACCGATTCAAATGCTTCTTCCTAGAGGTGGCACCAATTCTGGGAAGGGGCTTTTGAATTGGTTGTTTGCTAACAACCGATGCCAATGCTCCTTTCCCATTTATGGGAAATAGCATTTGAATCGGTTGTTTGCTAAAAACCGATTCAAATGATCCTTCCCAGAAATGGGAAGGGAGCATTTGAATCGGTTGTTAGCAAACAACCGATTCAAATAATGCTCCTTCCCAGTTCTGGAGAAAGGTCTTTTTGCATCGGTTGTTAGCTAATAACTGATGCAAATAATAATTTTTTTTACATAGCTGTTTGTTTGCTTACAATCCACCACAATTGCAAGTTTGTATAGAATTCTGTGCAAAATTTACATAACCAACAACAAAACACAACACAACAACAGCTACAAACACAACCCAACAACACAAATATATTCACAAAACCAAATTAAACAAAACAAATTAAACCAAAAAAATAAACATTTGCATCCATCACTTGTTCATCTAAAAAATAACAACATTTACAAGCTAAGCTATAACACTACAACTGAGAGTCATACAACAAATAAACTACACTCTTCTTAAAGTCAAACAACTAATACTATACAATGCAACACAAAACTTACATTAGTTCATCAAGAAAACCCCCCGCCCAAAACTCTCTAACCTCGTCTAATTCGGCTACGGTATAAGGCGAAGTAGACTAAAATATCTGCAATACGAAAACGACAAACATAAAGTTTAATAATCTATGAAAAAGAAAATGATGATGAACACTTTATTAGTTTTAAAAGACAGTAAAATAAACTTATATCGTATAACGGTAAAGAATACTGAGCACACAAAGTGATGATGAGCCATAAAAATCGCATAGTATAATATCCGCACTCTACCCCCTGGTAGTTGGGGTACTCCGGAACATCAATCTAATCCGGTCAAGCCTTAAGCTGAGGGGCATGTGTCATCCCCGAAGTAACCGCCAAGAACTTTAATACAGGTAAAAAACAAATCAATAAGAAATAAATTTCTTAACAAATAAAGAATTTCATTAATAAGAAATAAATTTCTTAATACTTACTCGTTGACGAAAGTCTTCACTTTTATTTGCTTATACCCTCCGGTCGCCTTAGTTGAGTTAAAGAAATACACTTTGTTTTCAAACAAACGTATTACAACTAACACCCAATGATGCCTACAATTGAAAAAGCGTTAGTCATTAGCTTCATAATCAATATAAAAAATTGGAATACATATTGGAAATGGTTTAGAAAACATACGGTTTTGATACATATAACGGCATAAGTATCCAGGGTCGCGATTGATAGGACTCGAGTGCTCTATCCAGATACTGGCGATCTCCATAATCTACCATGTACGCCATGTTCTCCGGACATAACAACCCGACAGTTGTGATGTAATGCTCCATCATATGATTGTGCAACAATCTAGTTATTTAATAGGTAAATAATAATTACAATTATAACAAATAATTATAACATACATCACATAAACTCTTGTACAATTAGAACATGATTGCATTTTATTCGTACGTAGTGCTTGGCATACCTCAAGAAAATAGTGATGATGGTCTGATTGACCTCCTCCCATCGCATGAACTCACGTATATTCTCCGGGCGCATCCTCAGCTCCGTCTCCTCCGGATAGAGCATGCACTCGGGATTGAGAATGATGCTGATGGTAGGCAAAGCAGATGTGCGTGTAAGCCACAAACATAACTCTCTGCACCTCGGCCCAAAAGAAGCATACAAGCTCTGGTCAACAACATCTTTTACGGTTGATACAAAACAATGCACAACAAAATTATTAACACTCATTTTATATATACACACAAACATATAAGAAATACAGGCAACACAATATCTTATTTCTTATGATGTAACAAAAATCCGATAACAATTCTTCATTATACAAATGGTCCTTCTTTACACCATCCTAACCCATTCTTGAAATGCCACCCTCACTAGTAAATGTATTTCATTTTCTTTGAGCTATCAAAATTTTGGCAGCATTTCCCAATGGTTCTCCACGTGCACGATGTAACATATTTAAGAAACGTCAAACCAAAAAATGACAGAACAAAGAAAAAGAAATGCATTCACTACCTAAGTGAGGGAAGCATTTCAACAACAGCTCCAAACTGGGAGCTATTTAAAATTTACTTCTAATTAGTAAATTTTAAATGGGTATCTAGGTTGGTCAATATATGTTATTTCTATATTATAATATTTGAGATCATGTAGATACAAACAAAAAGTAATTAAACAATCTATATTTCAAGCGCAAGCTATATCACAATGTCACATTTCAACTTAAACATAAACATAAAAGAAATTCAAATATATAGTAATTAAAGTAAATACATTGAAATAGATTTAGAATTATATTATCTACTTGGAAAAATAATTCACATAATGCAAAAATATATAAATATATAATAGAATAATTAAAGATTTAAAGTGAAAAATAAAAAAATACCTTAAAATAGGCGAGCAAGGCACGACGGGGGTAGAGACCGGTGACAACGACGACGAGTTACAGGGGAAGGCACGGCATGACGAAGGCACAGCGAGGTAGCGACCGGGGAAGGCACGACGAGTTAAAGGAGGTGAGGGACAACGACGGGAGGCACGACGAGGCACAGCAAGCACGATGACAGCGAGGCAAAAGACGATGAGGCTATAAGCATGGAATTGGCGGAAGCACGGCGATGACGACATTAAGCAACGGAAACGGCGAGGCTAGGAGCACATCAAGCACGACGAAAAATCGTTTGGAGATTTTTTTTTCTCAAATTCGCGTAAGGATAAGGTATTGGAGGTTGTCTTTAACATCCTCTTTTGAATCAGTTATTCCCAATAACCGATTCAAAAGGTTATTTGAATCTGTTATTAGGAATAACCGATTCAAAAGGTTTATAGACTTTTGAATCGGTTATTCCTAATAACTGATTCCAAAAGTTATTTGAATTGGTTATTAGGAATAACTGATGCAAAAGCTTTATAAACCTTTTGAATCAGTTATTCTTAATAACTTATTCAAATAACCTTTTGAATCAGTTATTAAGAATAACTGATTCTAATGCTAAGCATTTGTCGATTTTTTTTGGCTTTTAAATTGATTATTTCACTGACTGGTGCAAATAAGGTGATTTATTTGGTCGTTTTTGTAGTAGTGTTAGTGTTCATTCTGAAGCAAAATAAAATTCATACCATAATTAATAGCTTTCTTTCTCTCCTACCCTACTCGACCACACAACGCTAGGGTTTTTCATCCATCCTCTAGAGCACCTTTCTTCCTTGATCGGACAGAGTAACTCTTCTTCCTGGGTTTTTCATCCATCCTCCAGCACCTCCTCTTTGTTATCAGTGTGCCTCTCTTTCGCCGGTCAGTGGATCTTCTTCAAACGGACTGATCTACAGAGTATCTCCTTTGATTTTTGTTGCACTCCCTTCAACGGTGCCTAGTCCAAAATTTTCGGTTCTCCTCGCGTCTTTTGCCGGTTGTACCTAACTTTGGGTACAACCAGTTGTATAATATAATTTGCAGTGTATGTGATTCACAGACATTAAGTGTCTGTGTTTGTCTGTGTTTGCTTAGTGACGTTAGTGTAACCTTAGTAACTAGGTTTATTCTTAAGATAAAGTTATTTGTACCCAAAAATTTGTACTCCATTTTGTACACTACAGGGATGCACCAATATTTTATGTTGGTGTAATTCTAATTTTTGTTAATGCACCAGCATTTTGTATCAGTGTAAATTTTTGTTAATGTACCACTTTGTATCAGTGTAAACCATTAAAATAATAATGCATACTTTTGATATATAAATATAATATACGGAGTAAATTTTAGGTACATGTAGCTTAGTCTTGACTCTTGATACTCCGTAATAAGGAGTATGATTGATTTCCAGCGCCCAGGCCAGATTTTGCATCCGTGGAGGAGCGATACATACCATGGCTACTACCACACCTCACCGCTACAGCCATGGCTTGACGCGGTCACTTCTTAGCTCAAACTACTGCTTCTCTTCCTCTGCTTTCGCTCATCCCAACCTTCGGAACCCTAAGCTTTCACTTTGCATTAGAACTGCTGCCAAACCCTCTCCCAAAAACATCACTGGCGCTCAGCGGGACAAAGCAGCTCAAGATTCTTCTCCGATTTTGGATACCCAGATCAGCGAACCCGACCCGCATCCTCCGCCCGGGCCTCCTCTTTGGAACTCGAGCTCTCCCATGTTGTACCCTTTTCTCGCTAACATCCTTCATCAGATATAGGCTTCTGGGTTTTATTTTAGGGTGTTACTCACTCGCATTTTCTTGTTTATTGTTCTATCTGCAAAAAAAAATTGCAGAAAGGGATTTAAAGTTGATGGACTGGTTTGGGAGATTTTATCTATTGCGTTTCCTGCTGCATTGGCTCTGGCTGCCGACCCCATTGCTTCTCTAGTTGATACCGCATTCATTGGCCATTTAGGTACTTCTGTTCGTTAAAGATTTTGATTTGTGATAATTTTTACCCGCTGATACAAATGTGTTTATTGAGAGCAATGTAAGTAAAAATCTTTTTGCTAAAGATGCTAAGTTACCTTTGGGTTGTTTTGCTCCATTGATGTAAATGTGTGTGAAAATTTTCATTGATGACATTGTAAGACAAAATCCCTCAATGGTTTAGCATTTAGCTTGCATAAGTATAAGCAATGGGCATATTTTCCATGAAATTGATGCCCTGCAGTTCTGTAGGATCGGTTGAATTGGCAGCAGCGGGGGTTGCAGCATCAGTGTTCAACTTTGTGTCAAAGTTGTTCAATGTTTCTCTCCTCAATGTTACAACGTCATTTGTAGCTGAAGAGCAGGCACAACTCAGCAATGATTCTAATGTGCATGGTAATACATACAATGGTGGTTCCTTTCTCTGTATTACAGTATTATTTTTGTCTGTGTATTATTTAGTTTTATTAATGTCTATTTCATGTTTTTTGAGATGCAATATTTTACATTTGGAATGACATTGGAATCAACTCATGTGGCTTGGCTTATGGTTGTTTGTGTAGATGATGGGGCTGCTCAACAGAGCAAGATTATTCTGCCATCTGTATCAACTTCATTAGCACTTGCCACTGGCCTTGGCATTGCAGAAGCGATTGCAGTTTGTCTTGGCTCCAGTTTTCTGATGGATACAATGGGTATAATTGCTGTATGTGGAGTATTTTTTCTAACATACTTGTTTTTTGTCCTCAACCTCTATTTCCAAGCCTCAAGAATGCTAATACACTATCTTGGGTTCCTGATTAACAGAACCTCTATTTCCAAGCCTTGAGAATGCTAATACACTATCTTGGATTCCTGATTAACAGATCATTTCACGTTTACGCACACACGTGTTGGCTTTTTTTAGACAATAACATCAAATCCATTATAATCTCATCTCTATTGGGGACTAGGGGTCAAGATGTGAGCACCCATGAAAAAAACAGACTGTTTGCCTTAGACCCTTGATGATGGCTGCATTTACTATCAAACGCTTCATACGAAGTAATAATCAAAGGAAACATTGTATGAGAGCATATGTAAAATAAGCACAAGTCTTTTCGTGTTTGGGGAAATAATGTGTGACATGCTGAGTGCTGACATGCAGTTTTTCCCCCTTTCGGCGGGGACGGGTGTTAAACTATAGGGATATTCATCGTATGCCATACTTAGTTACGGAGTATTTAAGAAGTTTTTGGAGTTTGCGCTGTTGGAATTAATGAGCTACAATGTAATAGGATTCACCAATGCGCACACCTGCTGAGCAGTTTCTTACAATGAGGGCATTTGGTGCTCCAGCAATTGTAATAGCACTTGCCACTCAGGGAACTTTTCGTGGGTTCAAGGATACAAAGACACCTCTATATGCAGTTGGCAAGTATTGCTAATTCCTAAATTTTTTCTATAAAGAGTATTAAGTCATTAAGTAAAACCATCTTAGCATGAAAACCTCAAGTAGTCAAGTAACCAAAGAAGCTATAGCATTTATACTATATCCGTTGGTCAAAAAAAATTCTCTTGGTGTTACAGGTGCTGGTAACTTGCTAAATGCTATAATGAGTCCTCTGTTGATGTTTTCCTTTGGTTTTGGCATCAGTGGTGCTGCAATTTCTACTGTGATTTCTGAGTACGTCTATAATGCTTTGAAAATAATTATGTAATTATTTTGGATATAATATTTACATATTTCTGAGACATTACCTTGTCTATCTTACCCATTTTTATGGACCGCCACATTCTTTTTATCAGGTACTTGATTGCTTTCATCCTGCTTTTCAAGTTAAATGACAGGGTCATTCTTATCGCTCCAGAAGTTAATGGTGGAAGAGTTATTCGATATCTTAAATCCGGTAACTTTTAAGAATTATGTTATATGGATAATCTGGATTGAAACATTCATACATTTAAATTGGGTCATTCTAGATTATAATATAATTATTTACAAATGTGATATTAACCCTGTTCAACTCGTGGTTATGTTGTTTGGTCCACCGGATGAAGTCTTGCCATGACTATCAGTTTAAAATATTGACTTTTTATGCTTGATATCTAGAGTCGCGATAACTATAGAGGCATCAAACTTCTTAGCCATACCATGGGAGCGTATCATAGAGGCTCGGTTGCAAAAGGTGGTATGTATTTCTGAGAACCAATTTGGCTTTATGCCTGCCCGCTCGACCACAAAGGCTATCCATCTCCTGCGAAGGTTGATGGAGGAGTATGGAGCTAAGACGAAGGATCTTCACATGGTGTTCATTGATTTCGAGGTGTATGACATGGTACCAAGAGAGATCTTGTGGAGATGTCTTGAGGCTAGAGGGGTTCCAATTGCATACATTCGGGCAATAAAAGATATGTATGTCGGGGCAAGCACTAGAGTTAGGACTGTAAGGGGTGATTCTGACCCGTTTCCTGTTAAGGTGAGGTTACACCAGGGGTATGCCCTTAACCCCTAGCTTTTTGTTGTGGTTATGGATGTTCTCTCGTGTGGTATTTGGGAGGAGGTTCCTTGGTGCATGTTTTTTGCTGATGATATTTTTTTGATCGACAAGACGCGTGAGGGACTCAATGACAAGTTAGAGGTGTGGCGTCAGTCTTTAGAATTCAAGGGTTTCACATTGAGCAGGACTAAGACTGAGTACCTGGAATGTGGTTTTAGTGGTTGGGTGAGAGAGGTGGAAGTTAAGATTGATTCACACCTAGTGCCTAAGAGCGTTAAATCCCGATATCTTGGTTCGGTTATTCAGGTGGATTGAGAGATCAATGGGGATGTTGTTCACCGTATCGGAGCTGCGTGGGCAAAGTGGAAATTGGCATCAAGGGTTCTATGTGATAAAAAGATTTCAGAAAAGATGTCAGACCGGCAATGCTTTATGGTGTGGAATGATGGCCAGTTAAGAAAGTCCACATTCGTCAACTACATGTAGCAAAAATGCGGATGCTACGGTGGATGTGTAGGCAAACAAGGTTGGATAGGATTTGGAATGAGGTTATTCAGAGACGGGTGGGAGTGGCACCGGTGGAGGATAAGCTTCGAGAGGTTAGGTTGAGATTGTTTGGTCATGTGAAAAGTCGTGCACCTGAGGCCCTATGCGGAGATGCAAGAGGCTTTCGATAGTTGGAGGGTTTGGGGGTAGGGGTAGACCTAGGAAGAATTGGAAGGAGGTAGTTAGGCAGGACTTAGGACAATTGGATCTTACCGAGGATATGACCTTAGATAGGGACATCTGGAGATCTAGGATTAGAGTAGTTGGGTAGTCGTTTAGTCAAGGGTGCTAGTTTTGTTCGTATTGTTTTTTGTGTTGGCTTAACGTATTTCTTCTTCCAGTTGGCTAGGTACCTTATGCCTTTGTGTACTCTGTCCTATTGTCGTGCTACCTGATTTTTGTGCTGCTTTAGTTGGGGGTCTCTTGGAAGCAGCCTCTCTACTTTTAGTGGGGGTAAGGTTTGCGTACACACACCCTCCCCAGACCCTGCTTTTGTGGGATTCTACTGGGTTGTTGTTGTTGTTGTTGCTTGATTATTTGTTGTACAAGTGTAATGATGGGTATATTGTGCTGGGTTAGATATTGATGAAGTAATGGTAAGCCCGATATACCTGCCGGCCTAGGAGTAAGAGGCCCAGTCCCACGGCCTAAGGCCAAACAAAAACCTATGAGTAAGATGGGTGGGTTGAGCAGGATTAACCATCAGGTGCATGACCTAGGGGGACAGCTCGGCGGCTAGGGTCTGTTACATTGGAGGGAAGGATTTGGAGGTTCCGTATTCAACTCAATCAGATCACGGGGAAGTCAGATCTGATTTGGGATATATTAGGCAAACCTACCCAGCCAATAAAGATCTCCCCCAAGATTATAATGTAGGATCCGGTTTTGGAGAACAACTTGAGCATATTCTTTCGTCTCTTTAATTTTGTGCAAGTGGTATTCGTTAGGAGTGATCCCTAATTTGGTTGAAATCCGTCATGTAATCCCTAGTTGCATAGATTCACATGAATTTATAGAAACTGATGGTCTATGATACGTCTCTTGAATAACTAAATTTCTATGTTTCAGGTGCTCTACTTACTGGAAGAACATTAGCAGTGTTTGTAACCACTACACTAGCAACATCCCTGGCTGCCAGAGATGGTCCAATATCTATGGCTGGCCATCAAATTTGTTTCCAAGTTTGGTTAGCATTGTCCATGCTTACGGATGCTTTAGCTCTGGCAGGACAAGTAAATTTTTCTGGCCTTCTACTAATATGTAACAGTACTGTTCACAGTTGCTGGATTTAGCTGAATAATTAAAGTGTATAGCCATCTGTCAGTACATTATGAATCTCTACATTTTAAATTACAGTCATGTTTTCTTTTTCATTATCATTTTTATTTAACTCTCACTTTTTTTAAGGCTCTCCTTGCCAGTGATTACTCTCAAGGTAACTATAGCCGGGCACGTGAAGTGGTTTATAAAGTCTTGCAGGTTTGCAGTTTCGTGGTGTAATACTGCTTTTTTCTAGCTTTACAAGTAATTATTGTTTGCGTGTGCCATTTTTGAAATTTTATTTTTATTAGATTGGTATTGCAACCGGAGCAACCTTGGGCGTGTGCTTGCTCCTGTGGTTTGGAGCATTGACTAGCTTATTCAGCTCAGACTCCAAGGTCCTAGAAATTGCAAGATATGGCACTTTGGTAAGGATGAACTTCTGGTGCATGCTAACTTATAAACATAAGAAAATGAAATTATTTCTCTGTAAAACCCGAATCATTACACATTTCATCTTCACAATGAGCTTAGTTGTAAAAACTCTCTTTCCTCTTCTGTTCATTTCACATACTTGGTAGTGCTGAATAGCTGATATTTCACAAAACATTAAAGTCTTATTGATACCATGTATTTCTAAAGATTTATGTCCAATAAAGGATCCATCTGCAAGTAACCACATGATGTTACCGTAACCCATTCTTTATTCCTTTTCCCAATTTGCTTTAGTTTGTTGCCGTATCTCAACCAGTGAATGCAATTGCTTTTGTTCTTGATGGCCTATATTACGGGGTCTCAGACTTCGAATTTGCTGCCTACTCAATGGTATGGTATTATTGCCTTTTGTTCTCACCACACATTTGTTGCTGTTTTCCTTATCTAACATTATCTTTTACTCGTGATGAGCAGTTACTCATTGGATTGATCTCCTCCATTTTCTTATTGGTGGCTACTCCCATGTTTGGTCTTGCTGGAGTTTGGGCAGGACTTTTTCTCCTCATGGCTTTGCGTGTGCTAGCTGGATGTCTAAGGTGCACCGATCTCTCTCTCTCTCTCATATTTGCTTTTCGTTATCCAAAAGCGATGCATGACACACCAACACATTTCCTTATTCATTTGTTTCCAATATATGCCTCCTTTTTGCCTTTTCCTTAGTTCAGTTATTAAAATCTGCTGTTCCGGTAACCTAAATATTGTTGTTTTCCCTGTTGTTGTAACTGCATATCATGTAAAAATTTACTCTCCACTTTAGTCTGCTGTTATTAAAGTACTGGTAATTCATATCAGTCTGTTTGCTAAGTAAACTGCTGATAACAGACTGGGCACAAGAACTGGACCCTGGCAATTTCTCTCAAGCAGTAGAGTGCTGGATAGTGATGCAGCAGATGATTCGTTGGTGGACAAAAAATCAGAACATGATTAGGCTATTATGCCATATTACTTGGTTTTAAATCCTGGATTCCTCGTTGGAAATTGAAAGCTATATCTGACATGAGCATGGCTTGAGAAGAATGCAAGTATCCACATTCTTTCATCAGCCGATCTCGGGAGATTAACCCGCAGGCTTCAAAAAGAATCCTAGGCCGACAACGGGTAGAAGCTAAGTTGAACCTGGTAATTTAGTGGAAATGATATTTGCACTCCAATTTTTCATATTGGCACTCCAAATTGCACTATTCATTCTCTCACTAGTTGCTTTTTATGTAAAGGCCATGTTAGCACTGCATAGATAGTTGAAAAGAGTAAAGCAGTTAAGCTCAGGAAGCTTCCAACATGTGCATTCAGTAGCTGTCTGTTAACATTCAATTTTGTGAAGATGGAGGGTGGAGAAAAAGACACAGGTAGCCCTGGATGCTTAAAGAAGAGTGACACGATGGTTTGTTAGATCGAGAGGTTTTAATATTTGATATGTGTCGATTAGGGCAGACTTCAAAACACAGGCTAACGGGAAGGTTTTCGTAGTATCTCTAGACTTGAAAGTAGAACCAGTTTTTCATTCTCCAAACACTAATTCTAAGAACTTGAATTGGAGATGTTAAAGCTCATGTCAATATGTCTTACCAAACACAGTCTAAGTAGTGATTATTATCAAATGAACAAATTTAGACACAACCCCTTGTTTGATGACCCTTAATGGGAAAAAGTAGAAGCCTTCCATGTCTTGCAATGAGCACGCACCCGGCGACTGCCTTGTTATTTTAAGTGTGCCATAACAATAGTGAACAATAGTGACTTCGCCAAGGTTTGTACTTTGTGATGACACAACATCCACGCTAGATGTCGTAGCAACCTACATTACAAGTTAATATTTTGGTTATACGATTTTTTGAGACAAGCAACCTCTCTACTTTTTGCACTCTATACGACTCGTCATAGCAAGACGAAAGGATGATTTTATTAAACAATTACGATAAATAATTTATCTTAACTATTTAATAAGCTCACAAGTACTTTAAATTTTTTTACACATTTAGCAATGACTAAGGTCAAGAGTAAACACTTGTTCCAAAGTATTTGTCCAATTAACTTTTTTGAACGAAAAAATGATGAATTCTAATAATTAATTACATAAAAATAGATTGCATGGTTGTACAATTTAATAAGCTTTTGAAAGTTTTATGTAAGACAAATTATGGAAAAAGTACATTGAATTTTTATATAAATTAAATATCAATAGATTTTTTTAATTATCCTTTTGAAATATTATATTTTTATAATGTATAGCTATATAAAAATAAAAATATTAAGGGTCAAAGTGTTGTATTGGAGACTATGAAAAGTCAAATGTGAAGAAAATTTATGGATGAAGAGAGTAATATAATTATTTTTGTACTAATATATACTACGAGTATCTATTTAATTGACATCAAAGTTTTCTTTAGTTGATAATCAAAGTTCATCTAGTTTGAGACAAAGATAGTACAAAGTATTATATTTCAAACTCAAAATGTGCTACAACCAAAATGAAATGCCTCCCTAAGTAGGAAAATATAAATCAATTACTGTAATAATTAAAATGGTATAGCTAAATCTACACTTTTTATATTAGTAAATCTACTCTTTTTATGTTAAATGAACAAATGTACCTTTAAAAATTGTCTTGTATCTAAGTTCTCTATTTTGTGCTTATTGGTAAAATTGGTAATTTACCATAAATAGAGTGGACTATTACTCAATTGATAGAATAATATAACTATGTCATCTCTTGATTCATAAAACTTTTTATATAGTTTTTAAATATATATAATTTTTATTTTGTATTTCTAAGTTAAAAAAATTAATTTAAAAATAATTTTACTCAAATATCATAAATCATAAGAGGCAATTTAACATGTAACATGTAACTTCTTCTGTCTCGAGGATTAGTAAGACATATTGACATGAGTTTTAACATGTGCCATGTGCCCATGTTCATTCATATGAATATTACATGAAGCATGTAACTTCTTCTGTCTCGAGGATCCCCATACAAATAAACATGCTCCCTCGGTTATGTAAAAGGTAAAAACCAAAAGCAAAAAAAGATAAGGAACAAAGTAGGTATCCTCTAAGTGAAGGGATTACAAAATGGGATAAGATAGGATATTTATCATTTATCAATACCTTCAAAATGGGGTCTGGAGAAGAAACTACATATGCTGCTTCCCCCACCAGTAAATATGAACAAAACGGCAAAATCTACATACAGCAGAAAACGTTATGATGAAACAATGCCAGGTAAGTGTGTACATTCATGGCGCAATGAAAACACCCTGCAACCAAATGCTTCGTGTGCCAATTCGTTCTCCTCCAAGCGATCTACAAGAAGATAAGATAAAACAGGAAAATTCAACATTAACTGTACACTTGCAAACCACATGATTCAATCCACAGATAGTATTCTTCCATAGTCCCATGTAGACACTATAGCCTATGTGGCCAGAAATAATAAAGAAAAAGCGCCACTAAAATATAGAAGAGCATGTAGTGAACAATAGAAGAGTGACGGGTCAAATATGCCATCAAACTTTTTGAAAAATGAGCAATTGACCTCTCGATTTGGGATAAACTTGGAGAGATGTGAGATGAACAAGGGTAGAAACAGTCCTTATTCCCACGCATGTAAATTGTTTTCTTTTTGTATTCCCACACAGTTACACATATACAAATAATACAATGGCCCAATTTGTACTCCTTTACACATATACAGTGACGTAGAAACAAGCTCTCTATTTTTCACGCAGGGGGTAAGGTTTGTGTACACTCCCCCCCCCCTCCCCACACACCATGGAATTTATTGGGTTTGTTGTAAATACACACTTACACATATACAATCACAGATAATGGCCCTATTTTATACATATTTTTACACATATACACTAGCTTGGAAACAACCTCTCTACTTTTTAAATAGGGTAAGGTCTGCTTACCTATGTACACTCGCCCTCTCTAGGATTTTACTGGGTTTGTCTTTGTTCTCACACATATATAGAGACATAAAATGGCTATATTAATTATTATTCGGACACATATGCAATGAGCCAATACTAACTAGGTTTAGCATCTCCCTAACCTTACATTATTCTGATGAATTATAGTAATAATGTACTTAAGATGTAAATCAGATTTATGTCACAGTAAGATAGTTTCCCAACAGGTTTTATTAGTGAAAAAATTGCCACATACACTAATGGTGAATTTCAATGACTTCTTCACATCTCAATAATCTGAAAGGAACTGCAACATATTCTTTTGCTCTAATCTTTCTATTTTGGGGAAACCAATGATAAGGTCATGACAACTTTGGAAGAGAGAGATGTTGTGGTCAATGTTCTAGAACAAACGGTAAAAATGTGTCTAGTAAAAATGTATCATGTTGTGACTTTTGTAATAGACAAGGGCGTAAACTCTTCGGCCAAGGTTCTGTAGGAAGCTGGAAGCAAGTATTCAATGTTCACCTTGTCACACGGTCCTGCCACCAGTAGCCAACTAGCCATCGCACACATCTACATTCATCGGTCGAGCTTGTTATCATGTGTTTGTGCATGAGACTTAGAGAGGCTAAAATGAGGTTCTGACATCTTGCTTTAGCTTCAAAATGCATATTGGCAAATACAGACGAAGCCTCGTGTACCAAATACATAATATGTAAAAAATTCATATAATTTGTTTTGTACGTGAAAAGTATAAAAATAAAAAATTTAAATAACTTTGACTTAGTAACTCATTATACCAGTAATTATAGGATTAAGTTCTAAAAGTCATTTTTAAAAAAACCAAACATTTAAGGAACACTTCAGCACATAAGTAAAGAAGAACCAGGCATCAAGTAGTAAAGAGAGTTGGTGGTATTTTAGATTCATTCAATCAAGTATTAATTAAAGAGAGGTAAAGAACAATCACATTTAAGATAGAGAACAAAAAGCAAACGTCATAGCTGTGTAAAACACAAACCTGTGAAGTAATAAGGTTTCACTTGGGTTAAGCACTTAATTTTCTTTTAAATCTAACTAAAAACAACCTAAATCTTTATTATTCTTATCATGACAACCAATCCCATTGAGCTAAACTGCATTTCGAAAATACTTCAAATAATGCATAGTACTCTATAAATAGTTCAATTGATGTACTATGACATCCAACACCATATTTTCACGTCACTCATATCCTAAGGAGGGAGTGAGGTATGGTAGATTTTGAAGGTCAAAAGAGAAATTTCCCTGACCCAGAACAGAAAAAAGTTAGTACAACAAAGGCTTGGATTAATATATAAGGGTCACACAAAATAGGTGAGCCAAATGGAAAAAGAATGTGTTCAATAGTCCTTGAAGGACACATGTCACCATTCTCTGCAATACGAAGATAAAAGAATTGGTTGAATTTGATATTCAAAGATACTTTGACAGCCTAAAAAAGGACTGGATGCCACTAAAAAAGAAGACAATATATAATAAGAATTAATGAATAGGAAAAAAACATAATGCACACACAGAACTAATAAAGAAAAAGAAATTAAAATGTTCATATTGATATTGATCAGAAAAATAATCCTGCTGGAATTGTGGAAGTACCCAAAAAGTACTTCAGATAAATTATCGATGACATAGATGAATGTGGATGCAATAGAAGCACAATCTTACTAGAGAACGTCTTCCTTCTTACAGATAAGCTACAAGTGTGAAACTCTGGATAAGCAACTAAGTTCTTTTGCCAAAACCTTATTTTACACCCAAAAGAAGTCACATATACCCCTGTACTTAATTTAACTTCATGTTCTCTTTCAAGCAGAGTTTAAGAAAAGACAATTATGCGGTTGATATTTATGATATCTATGCAGATGGGAGAAACAACAAAATTTCATGACAGATGGAGTAAGTATGAATTATTTGTCGCGACATGTGATCTTATTTTTCTAAAAACATTCCCACTTCAGCAATTTGCCACTTTGCCTCCCTCAAACAAATAATTGCCACTTGAGCACTTTCTAAACATAGATGTGTTCAGACTAAACCCAGCACCTTCCAAAAATTAATTTAAAAAATATACCATTAGCAACATGTTATGCTATCACCTTGTGCAGATGAAGTAGAATATTCCTGATCACTGATCTATGCAGAGATTTTTTTCCGTAAAACACATTGGACTGAAATTGTCAGGATAGAGCAGTCCCCAAATCAGAAATAATATCATATGTATATTTGCCACACAATATATAAAATTCAGAAAATGCACTCAGAGAACACCACTACTTAAGAGCTAGAAGGAAGATCATTCCACCTTGAAATGTCCAAGATTTGGACAGCAATGTAACAGCATAAATTCATTCCAGGCCAGCAACTTTGCACCTTAGTTTCAAATTATGCTGTTCCTGCCAAAAGCAAAACATCTGCTGTCAGTCATTTATGAATAAAGCTATAGCAGTTGCAATCAATATGGAGAAAACAACCGAAAAGAGTGCACATGAAATGCTTGGATGCATCCTGAAATGTGTTCTTCATTTAAGCTATGTTCTTACCTGCTCAAGAACTATGGCAGAGCTCTTTTCCACCGATCTGGCCAAGCTCTCAAGCTTCACAAGCATTTTTTCATACAACTCTTCTACTTCAGCAGTGTAGTTGGCTGCATTGGACCCTAAT